TCTCTCTCTCTCTCTCTCTCTCTCTCTCTCTCTCTCTCTAAGGACCCAGAATCTGATATGGCATCAAGGTTCCCTAAGACTGCTAATGACAATCCACACACACAACCAACGACTGTTTCACACTTCCTTAAGGTTCTCTGTCGAACACTGATAACTACGAATTGATTCGATGTTTAACTGCTATCTGTCAACCCGAGGAGGCCCTTCCGGGAAGGAAAATGGTGGACACACCCGTTGCAGGGGTACTGACGGGTTGTGGGTTCAACTTGCCAATTCTCGTGCACCAGGCTGGGTGTTCCCCTCGACCAGAGTTGACGGGTTCAGTTCATGAACTTGCAAGGTGTCGGGCACCAACAACTCCACTACCTCTTAATCCTTAGTCTAATCGACATACAAAGATCGGGCCGGATGATTACGCCCGACGTCTCGATACAATTGGAATGGCAAAACTCACACGCGCGCCTTAAAACTGCACGCCCACTCACCCTTCCTACTCGGACAACCCTTAGCCTGCGTGCGGACGACCCCCGCGTTTTCCGCGTAGGCACTCAAAAATCCAAGTTAACCAAGCCTTCCTGTCACTTGCCAAACCCAGGGCGGATACCCTTGTAAGGGTATTCGCGCCGACAGCTTACCGGACCATATTAAGCGATGTCCCCGTCGCTTCGCCAAATTAGAAAGCTATAATTTCATTCACACTCCAAATGCTGACGAGAGCAGAACCAATCCGATCAGCCGACAGACTCAGGTTCGAGGCCTCCAACAATCCGTGCCCTCACAACTATATGCTGCCAGGGTTTCAACCTGGGTCTCCATTGTCCTGACACTGGGACGCTGGTGTATTACGCATCGATACTACAACATAAGTTCCGAGGGCCCTCAAATCCATCCTCTCCCCTTTGTCCTAGACAACCGCCGAGCTCTCATTAGCTGTCCCAGTTAGTCTCTTCCTCGCAAGCAGAGCCATAACTAGGGACGCGGGCCTTAAATGAGACCTATGAAGGCATTCTTGCCTTCTTCCAGCAAAATCCTTGCAATCAAACCAAATGTACTTATGTAAGCTTACATCCTTTCTCAGCCTTTTCTGCAGTCTAGTACAAAAACGCCAGGTCTCCGTCTTGGCCCACCATAGCCTGGTTGATCGGACCAGGTCTACGGCCCACCGCATTGTTACCTTAGCAGCGGTATCCTCTCGCTGGTTGTACAACGACAGGTATGTTCCTGATAATCAATCAATCAGGATTCCCAAAAGACTTGACTCTTATCCCATGGAGTGATTTCCCTGGGGCGGACAACTCCCCTTAAACTCTTACCCCGCGGGCCCGCAGCCAGGTTGTGCCGACTAGCAGCCACCCATTGGGCGTTGCGCCCAAGTGGTACTAAACTTTACCATTAGCTTGGTATTCCTTCAAATATGTCTCACAATCAGCACAAGTGGTCAGGCGGGGCGTCACAAACAAATTACAGGCCACTGCGGGACTACGCAGGGGTCTGAAGGCATTTACCAGCTCCCTTATAATAGGCACGGCATCCTTCGCACAACCACAAACAATTTCCCCGTTGGGCCTACAAGGCCGCGGCTCCTGACTTGATCAGGGCCAGTAGTCACCCATCCTGAGATACCTCTCGCCCTGCACTCATTGCGACTTTTTCAAACATTCTAAGCAAGCATGGTTCCCTCTCGTCAGACTTATCAACACAACCAAGGCTTTCCATGCCACTCAATCTTTACGCACCTTTAACTTGGTAAAGGTGCCTCTCACAAAAAGTCTCACAGTCACCCCCTTTGAACACCTTCTTTCAAAGATGAGTGTTTCAATAAGCAAACTTGGCCACCTTCCAAAACCATGAAGGGGCCCCGATCCTAACACAACCACCACCTTCCAAAAATCATAAAGGGGTTCTTAAACATAAAACAAATCAGCTGAGGGACCAACTTCTAGGCCTCTTTTTCAATTCAGACGACAATCATTTGGCAAGGCGCTCAAGTCTCAGAACTCATAAATCCCGTGGGATTCCCATAATCTTTCACAGACAGGCTGCACTCCCCCTCCTTATACCCTGCCTTGTCATCTGCTCGTAAGCAGGCCGCACGAGTATACTAGAGGGTAGACAACTTTACAATTTTTATAAACATACATATGAGATGCATCATACACACCTCCCACGTGAAGCCAAAAACACCTCAAGATAAAGCCACACATGTGAGAGTGGTAGTGATCGTCACAAGGCAAATCTCATAGGATCTCAAACTCATGGTACACTCAGGGAGTAGAATGCCTCCCTCAAACTCGAACACAAACACTCATCTCAAGGCCCTGTTCGTTTGGGCAGGACTCACGACCCCACTGTACACTCGCTGAATATACTCGGGAACACAACATCTGCCTAGAATCCAAGGAATACCCAACCCCTGTCTCGCTCTGCTGGAAAAACTCTCATCCCAAGTGCTATAAACCCCAAAATCTCACTAAAAAACGCAAATAAATCTCTGAATCACAAACCCAAATGTAAACTAAGCGGTCTCATATATCACATGGCCAAATCCCATCTCCTGGGCCGTGGCCCACGAAGAAGCTCAAGAGAAATCGAACAACCAAAGTAAAATGTATACGTATAATCAGATAAAACGCGCCCTGTCACTCCTAAAGTATGCGCATACCTAGGGCCCACTCAATCAGCCCAAGATATATACACCTCCAACCCGCCCTCAGTGTGCACAAAAACTCTGATCCAGCTACCTATAGACAAACCAGTGCCTACTCATGCAACTCCTCCTGGTTCTGTCTATATAGTTGTGCCCTACCCACGTCTGGAGCTCGTTCTACTATCCTACCCTGTCTATCGTAGAACCTGCCATTAACCTCTGCAACGCGTCCCTCAGCCTTGTCCTCGAGGAGCTCAGGGCAATCCAAGGCTCTATGCCCCTCCTTACACCAAAACAAGGACGTGTCAAACCACCTTGCAGTCTTCTTCTTCCTTCCCCGGGAACTCGATGCTGAAGGCGTCCCCATGGTCTCGGTGGTCACCTCATGACACAATGGTAATCCCATGTGGCCCTGAGATCTGGGCTCCACGGCCTCAGCACCCCGTGCAACTATGCTCTGTGGCCTGTACTCTGGCGTATCCAGTCTCTGGGGCCCCCCTTCGCAGGGCCTCTCTACAACAGCCATCACCTCATCCCTACACGACCCTGGCGGCTGAGGAACCACTGCAGCGGCTGGCCCACTCATGACCTCCTGCTGCTGCTGCTCTGAACTATGCCCTCCTGAGTCAATCCTTGTGGCCCAGGATTCCAACTCCGCCCTCAACTCTCCCAACCTCGGGGCATACTCTGGAGTATCGAGTCTCTGGGGCCTCTCTTGTGGTGTACCTATCCCCATAGCTGCTGCCAGCTCATGCAGGCACAACCCCCTCTTCTCATCAGACATAGCCATGAGCGATTCCTGTGCGCCACCTCCCTCTGCGAGCGGATACGGGGGTCCTTGGACCAGCCCCTCGGCACAGGCCTCATGTGATGGAGACACCCTAGGCTGCATAGCCACCTCAATAGAAGCTCCTACCCCAACAGTCTCCTCCTCAACCCTTTGTATCGCCTCCATCCCAATCGGATCCCGCGACGCCTCCTCTGTTGGCCTCCTCTGTTGAGGGGGCTCTACTGTCGCTCCCTGACCAGGCGAAACCCGCGTCCCTCGATCCTGGACATCAACGCCAGCCCGCACAGTCTGTTCGACCACCCCGGCCGCCGAAAGCCTATTTACAATAGCTGCCAGTTCTCCGAACCTTCTTTCCCACTCAATCTCTCTCGCCTGGCTCGTCGCCCTCTCCTCTGCGAGTTGAGTAGTCAGGTGCTCCACCCCCAGTATTCTGGCTGCCAGCTCATCACTGAGTTGACTATTCCGACGGAAGGATGTAACTACCACTTCGCGTATCCTCCCATCCACACGTTCGATCGCCATCCTAGTGGCAAAGAATCCCAAGTCCCCCGCCTCCCTCAACTTATACACCCTCTCGTCCGCCTGTCCTGTCTCTCGCGATCTTTGACGGGCTGCATCCCTCTGACCCTCATACCTGGCCCACAATTCGTCGATCCTCTGCTCACTCGTATTGGGATCGACTGGCGGTGTCGGCGCTATCCCTGCCTTCCCATCTCAGTCTGTCTCGCGTGTATCTCAGCCAGACGGACTCGTACTCTAGCGGACTTTTCTTCGCGGGTTTCCTTTGAGGCTCCTCCCACTCGTGGTCCGCGGCCCCTTGGAGTTAACGCCCCTGCACTCTTTCCGCCACTCGTACTAAGGCAATGCCGGTGGCGGCTCAACTGGTGCAGGCCCCTCGGTACCTGGACGCTCAGCCATATACATGGCTGGCGGCAAATCGGGAATCGCACTCACCCTGGCTCTCTCCCCTGCCCCCTGTCTCTCCATCTCTGTCCCCTGCTCAGGCAAAGCAGCGATCTCTGGGGGGAGCTCCGGAATGTCCTCGCTATCCGGCTCAGGAATCCCGTTTGGCCAGGCCTAACCCTGCTGCTCGGCCACCATTCCAGGATCCTGTGGCTCCCCTCGGTCTTCCGCCTCGGGGTCTAAAGGCTCCTCTATTGGTACATATCGCACTGGCTCGGGTGAGCCCTCCCCCAACTGTGAGGCTTCCCATCGACATACGTCGAGGTGAGTCGCCAAGTTCCGGAATGGCGTCTCCCCTGGCACGTCCTGCTCCTGCCCTGATAGCGGCGGCGAAAGCGGCCGCAACTCATCACTCGTAATCCGCCGAACTATTTCAGTCTTGTCCCTGATACCCAGTCCTGCCACTTCGCCCCATCCAATTCCTCGATTTGATAGGCCCCAAACTCGCCACACTGCACGAGCCTATAAGGTCCCAACCACCGTTTATCGAGCTTCCTGGACCATTGCTTTTCCAGCGAGGAGTTATATAACAACACTGTATCTCCAACTCTCAGCGGGTCCTTCCTTACGAGTGCCATCTGGTCCCATCTCATCTTGTCCTCCATGCGGCTCCTCTCTACCTGACCAACGGCCTCCCGCAACCTTTTTTTGGTAGTTCCCACTTGTCGTGCCCGAATATCAAGCAACTCCTCGAATGTCAGGTTGGTCTCCAAATCCTGGCGCCTCCAGGTTATCAAGAAACTTTCAATAGGGAAGGTAGCGTGCCTTCCATACCACAACGTGGCTGGCGCGTACTTGGTAGTCTTTTTTACCATGATATTCTCGACAAAAAAGGTTGCGCTTAAAAACTTCGGCCACTGGTTGGGCCTCCCTTCCGTCCGTCCACTTGGCAAGGAGATTCGTGATGGTGCTATGCCCTCTTTCCACTTGCGCATTCGCCTGAGGGTGTGCTGCCGTGGTATAATTTGCCCCCACACCATATCCCGCAAGCAAGGTTTGCACTTCTTGACATGTAAATTTCGATCCTCGATCCATCACGAACTCTTTGACAAAGGGGTAACGTAAGTAGTACTCCTCGATCCAGCTGGCCAGGACTGGGCCGGTCTTCGTTCGTATGGCCCGATCGTCCACGAACCCAGTGAGGTTATCCCGCGCATCGAAGATGTAGTTGTACCCATGGTCCCCTATCGGCATAAAAAGCAGGTCTAAATCCACCACTGCGCCTACCTCTCTTTCCAACCTTGGATGCAGGGGATCCCCTGGTCTTTGTGCTGATCTTTCCTCGCAAGGCACACATGACTTACAGTACTTGATGACCATCTACAACATCCCACTCCAATAGTATAGCCCACTTATTTTGTCGTATGTGGCACTTACCCCTCTGTGCCCCCCTGCTATACCATCATGTAACGCCGCGATAATGTCGATTTGCTGGTTTCTCCCACACACAACCCGCCTGGGATTTTCGATCTGCCGCTTTATAAACAAGTGGCCATCTCTCACCACGTAGAGGTGCCTCGCCCTTTGTGCCTTATCACTGATATCTCTATCCCTTATCTCGCACGATAGGAGCAACCCTAACTCCCGGTAGATCCCATCATACTCCTCCGCCCGAAACGCCTCCTTGATCTCTCCGTCTTTAAACTCATCGTCCTGGATTTCGGGTACAGGTCCCTCACCTTCGACTGGGTTCAACGAGCCCCTTCGATCAAAGTCTCCCTGTAGAAGTGTATTCGTTATGAGATACATTCCTCCCATTAACTGCTCGTGCTCCTCAACTTGAGTAGGGCCTTCCTCAAGTGTCCTTACCTCTTCCGCCAAACTCTGTGTGTCTGCCAGTGCCAATTCCATTATCCAATGAACGTCCTTGCCACCCCATGGGTCTTCCTCTTGAAAACGCTTGAGGACCAACTCCGCCTCTTGCTCATACCTCCTAGGCGCTAGCCATATGGGGTGACTAAAGCAGCTAGGCACCCTCAACGACCATTTGTTTATATGGAGGCGGACGTCCTCCTCTTAATCCAAGGACCCATCAACTGGTGGAGTATCTTCTATCGATTCTTGCCCTGGCCTATCCCAGTTGACACGGCTTAACCCATCTGCCCTGTTCTTGTTCCCTAGAATCCTTTCCAACTTGAAATTAAACATCCAAATGTAGGTCAACCATCTCGCGATGGTTGGGTCAGATAGAGTATAATTCTTCAGGGAACATGCAAGCGCAGTAGGGTCCACCCTTAAAACGAGCCTCCTGCCGAAAACATAGTTCCGGAAGGTCCTCAGGCAGTGGAGTACCACCAGCGTCTCCTTCTTAAACTGAGAGTAGTTTCTCTCAGTTGTATTGAGGGTACGACTTTCAAACCTTAGCGGCCTCTCCTTTCCCTCAGCGTCTGCCTGAATCAGGACCCCTCCCAAGGCAGTTGGCCCAGCGTCCGTCTCGATAGCGAATGGTTTTTCCTCTGTGGCCTCATAGTTTGGTGCTCCCAATACTAAGCCTCCTTCCTTTAAACTCTCCCTTCATCTTGTTCACTGCCTCTTCCTGATCTTCACCCCAGACCCATTCCGGGTCCTGACGCACCAACTTTCTCAAATGCTCCATCTTGGCGGCAAAGTCCTTCACGAAGCTCCTCCAGAAGCCACAAGTCCCAAGGAAACTCCTTATGTCTGTTATCGAGCGGAAGGGCACTGGCCACTCAATGATCTTGTCTGTCTTCTTTACATCCAGCCTTCGCCCCTTCTYATTACAGACAAAACCTAGAATCGTGGCCTCCGTCATACAATGTTTCGACTTGGGACCACTCGYCGTCAGGTTGTGTTCCTCTAGCAGACTCAGAACCTGATCAATATCCTGGATATGCTTCCAGACAAATTGCCTCACTCCAGGCACCACTTCATCTTCCTCCTTCTCCTTCGGACCCTTGACCGCCAAATCGTCAATATAGGGTTGGGTGATATGTAGACTAACCGTCTGCATGCCCTAATCATGTGCCTTTGTACCATTACCACCGCATTGGTCCATCCTTAAGGGGCTACATTCATATGAATCAGCCCCCTTGGCGTATGCATCGCTGTCACCGGCCTATCTGGCGGGTATACATGAAATTGGATATACCCAGAATAAAGGTTTATGGGAGAGATTATAGGCCTTCCTGCGCATGACTCTGACCGGGCGTCAACGTTCGGCAACCCTCCCGCGTCCCACACTGTCACCGCATTCAATCGCTGTAAATCATGCACCCATCGTAGCGTCTCGTTGGGCTTGATAAAACAGAACCAAGGGGAGGCGTACGGCCCACTGGAGTAGTCGGCCACGTGCGTACGCATCTTGCCGTGCAGGTAATCCAYCACCATCTTTTCCTTATCAGAATTAGGATATCGCGCRCCCCTCAAGTTCCATGGCTCGTGTGGGACGGTATGGATTTGAATCATCGGAATCTTATCCACATCCAGCCTCCCACGTTCGTCGTCATCAAAAGCATACGTGCAATGTCTCTTCTTCATGGTCTCCACCATCAGGGTCCTCTCCTGGGGTGAAAGGAAGTTTGGTTCCCTAATTATCAGCTTCCCCTCATTCTCATCGTTGATACGGCACGGCCCGGCCAATGCGTGCTCCCGCATGCGTCGTATCAGCCCTCGCTCCCGCTCGTAATAGGCTTCTTCGTTCTCTGTGACAAGCACGGGAACCGCGCGGCACTTCATGTCTATGGTCTTGTACCGCCTTTGGGAGCCCTACTTAAGCCCTCCCCTAAAAAGGCCGACTTGTCGTCCGTGCTTGGGCCATTGCAGGGCCTCCCCTTCCTCCCGGAAGCCGATATACCAACTCCACCTCTCCCACCTGAGAGCTCTCCAAGACCTGCTCCCTTAACGCCTTTATTGCCTCGGGGTCTGCCATATCGTGTGCCGCCACCACCTCCATTGCCTTGTTCACATCGGTAATGCTCAGCGATAGTACCTCGGCCGTTCCTTCCTCCTCAGGTCCTTCCCGGAGCCTTCGTCGCTCATACTCGGACTCCTCAAAGATAAAGGAGCCGAGGTTTGGCCTATTCCTCCCACGTCCTGGTCCCGTGTTCCGGCACTTGATGATCTCATAGTTTCCACAGGCCGGATCAGACAGGGCCAAGATCATCGTTCCATCATGCCTGTTGAAGACTAGAGTCTCCGTCCTGCAGAGGAACGACCTCCCCTGGAGGATGGGGTGATCGACGTTGGGCATAACAAATAAGCAAGCCCACGCCCTCACCTTCCCAATCTCCACCATCACATTGGACGCAGTGCCGCAGAAAACTGCCTTACAATTGGCACCATGCAACACGCCATGGTCTAAGTGGTCAACTTCCAATCCCAATATAGTCGCGTCTCACTCCCGGATGATGTTCATTTCGGCGCCCGTGTCCCCCATCGCAATGCTAGGTTGGTCTCTCACCTTCAGATCCACCAACCCGCACGCCACACACTTCCAATCCATCCTTGTGCCTGCCTCTGTCCACTCTATTTCCCTTGGTAGGATTGTACTTAGATGGACGTTGGGCAGCAACCTCTGCAAGAGTCGACCATGCAGACTATCACGCAGCTTTGGGGCAGATGCGAGGATATCCTTCAAATTCATAAGGTCATTATGACCTTCCAAAAGCCTGTCCACCATTCGTTCCACGTCAAAACCCTCCTCCATCCGGACCGCATACTTCTTCCTCTTTGGCACGCTGTCGCGAAGGCTCGGCTCGAACTCCTCCTAGACTCCTCTCTTTTTGGCCCTTTGCTCTGCTCGCCGATCCTCTTCCTGCCGGAGCCTCTCATCCTCTTCATCACCACCCTCCTCTTACTCCTCTTGAACCTCCACCACTTCCTTCCTACGTTCAGGCTCGGGTTCCCTTCGAGGAGGTGCTCGGCCAGGTGCCTGACTAGGCCCCTGGCTAGTGGCAGCCTTACTTTGGCTCCTAGTCTGCGTGGCCTGCGGCACCCTTCCATGCGACGTAGGGGGCCTATTGGCCATCCCTGACCTAGGACTTGACCCAGCCGTCGCCACGCCTGGATACCCCTGTTGTCCTGATGAAGATTTTGGGCCAGACTCATAGAGCATTACCCCAGGGAAGCTCGCTCCCCACTCCTGGGCCTTGTCACACATCGCCCTCAGCCTTTCCTGGTACCTGCCTATCTTCGGAAGCAAATCCTCCATTCTTTCCAAAATGGTCGAGGCTGACTCTCTCACCACTTCCAACCCCTCATCGTCCGACTCAACGACTATAGGTTACTCCTTTATAGTTCCTGCCTTTAATCGATGGGTCACCTCCTCGCTCTCGTCCACCATCTCCTCGACCCTCACACCCAGATCCTCCCTTTCTTGCCACATCCAGAACGTTGCCGGGGCTGCTGGTGGCCCTGCCGCCGCTCGCCTGAGGGCTTCTTGCCTGATCTCTCCCGCGATCTTGGGGTCAATATCCTTCCCCCACTTATTATATATATCTCCGTCCATACAAGAGGAGATTAGCCCTGACAATTCGCCATCCCGCCACTGTTGGCAGAACCGTACGATGTGGCCTATAGTGCCACAATGCCAACAGGTGGCGCTCCGCCAATCAAAGCGGGGCCTCCCATATCCTTGGCCCCCCTCCTGGCTGCCTTGGCCATCTTGGTCCCAGCCCCCCTCCTGGCTGCCTTGGCCATCTTGGTCCCAGCCCCCCTCCTGGCTGCCTTGGCCATCTTGGTCCTGGCCCCCCTGACCATTCCAACCACCTCCGCGACCCCCACCATTTCTTCCTCGGCCCCGGCCACCGCCTCCTCGACCGCCTTGGCCTCAGCCTCCATTGCCCTGGACGCCTTGCCCTTGATTCCCTCCCCCGGCCACGCTAGCCTGAGATGCCTGCTGGGAGGGTGGCGGCTGGGCCACAAACTGACCTGGAGTCGCAGGGTAGCTTGGTGGGCCCCCACTTGCCGGCGGGCCCGAATATGGGACCATTTGTCCCGCGTGGGCCTGGTTCCCTCCACATGAAGTACAGTGGCTACAACTGGGCCAGGGCACTAGCTGACAATGTGGCATCCAGTGCCCACAAACTGGTGGCGGCCCCATATGCGATGGCCCTGCTAGGGCTGGCTTCGTCGTGGCAGCAGGTGGCGGCGCGGCAATTGCTTGAGGAGCTTGCCCCTTCCCTGATCCCTGACCTCCCAACAGCAAGTTGCGCTGCTTCCTCTGGGCCTTGGTCAGGACATGGGAGCCTGTCTCCTCTCCGTCGTAGTCCTCACGTCCAGTCTCCTCATCCACTGCCCCTGACGTGCGGCCCGGGGCCCCGGTCACCCCTCTTTTCTGCACTTCTGCCTCATTATCATACCCCAGTGCCGCTAGCACGTCCGTAACAATCCTCTTTACCCCCGAAGTCCCGGATAAGGTGGCGTTCCTCTCCTTTCTTTTGCGCCTTTGCAATCGCATCTGGTGCTGTTCCACCTGGTCTAGACTCCCCTCCTCCACTCCCTTATCGATAGTGGCCCAGGTGAGTTTCTCACTTCCTCCTCCATGACTCGTCAATTCTGAGGCCTTCGTGCCAGTAAGCAACCCCAAGAATATGGCACACTGCGCCTCTTCAGAGATTCCGTGCACCTTCCTCGCCTTCTTCTTGAATTCGTGCACGAATACCCCAATAATGGAAAAGTCATCCTTATTCATGGCTTCCAAGTCAGCCATGGTCAGCAGGCCGTCTCCCAGCCTGTACTTCCTCCTCATCAGGTCTCGAAACCTTGCCCAAATGCCATTGGCGTCGTCCACAACCTTGCTCACCTCGCGATGGTGGCTATGAAGGACGTACTTCAGGATCCGCTGAAACTTGACCTCGTCCGACAGTCCCACCAGCGCCTGCTCAGTCAAATCCAACCAGTCAGACACCCGCTCCCCCTTGAAGTGGAAGGTGTCGACTTTCGGAACATTGCTCGGCGCTCTCTCGCGCTTGTACAGGGCCTCGACAAGATCATCTAGCGTCTGAGCCTTTCTCGGGGCGGCGCCCCCACCTCCTGACATCTTGGCCTGCTTGCTCTTGCTCACCCTTCCTGTTAAGAAAAGAAATGGAAAGCTTCACTCAGCAACCCACCCCGATATACTTATACCAAGCTCCCCACATTTTTCCTACATCCCTTAGATCTCAGCAAACCCTACCTCTGTTGTCCAAGCCTACTTTAACAGAGTCAGCTTCTGTCCAAAGACCCTCTACACAGTCTTCCGATCACGCAATCCCTTTAGCTATCAATTACATCCGTTGGTGTTCAGGTCTCACACACGCACAACCACACAAAATATCACTCCGCTCACTCATTATCAACTCAATCATGCCTAATTCTTTCTCATTCCCATACCCGGATGTCGTTCCACCGGGGACAACGGTAGGCTTCCGTTATCCCCGACAACGGCGCCACCTGTCGAGCGCATCGGTCCGACACCGCACGAGGCAGCGCGGGACCCTCCCGGCTGCGTCACGCAAGAGTTGGTTTTAAATCCTTCGTCGCGAATATACAGCGAGCTTCCGCAAGCCGCTCCGGCCGAGTGCGCCAGCCATACCTCTCGCGAGCCTCTATGACAGGATAGGGCTTACGCGAGGCACAACTTACCTCCACCTTACGGGAGTTGTCACCTCCCTTCGGTGGGCGTATCCCCGCCGAGCTACCAGTCCACAGTACGAAAGCTACCCAGTTGCAATAGCAGAGGTGGACCAGCCGAGGGCGTTTCTCGTTCGCTGTAGCATAGGGGGTACGCGCGGTAATACGCCTCTATCGGACCCACACGTGAACCGACATCTTGGGGGGCTGAAGTCCCAAGCGCGGCTCGTCGTCGGTCGACTAGGACGCATCCCACACACTACGCGCACATCACTTTAACAACCACTAAAACAACGCATACCCACACATACGAAACAACACAACACAAACAACGCGACAACGCTCCTAGCCCCTTCCATAACCGTCCCATAACTCTCCGATGCGAAAATAGGATGGGCGTCGCGCGCGGGACTTGGTATAAAACCGCGCGGGCAGGGTCTACTCATATCGACTCGCAAAGCCAGCATACGCAAGCGGTCGCAGTGATGGCATACTACATAGTACCCATACCCAGGCCGTCCTCGTTAATCTCGGGGGTCGCATTCGACACTCAAGTGTCGACTGACATGCTTAGAGGGTTAATCTATCGACGTTGGACATCCGCTATGAGCGGTTGAAGATCACACACCCTCTTCTGCACCTTATGTAGAGTGGGTGGTACACAGGTCCACACCTGTGGTGACAGTCGTTTTTCGCGGCCCTGGGGATGAGTCCTACTCCAGGCCTGGTCGGAAGTCAAGGGGTTTGACTTTGACGGTTGCCACGAACTACAATGTCCAACTATAAAATCCTAAAAAACCAGAGTAGGCCGAAGGCCCCCCCCCTATCCCAGGGGGATCATGACCCTAGGGTACCGCTTTTGGGTCAGCGCCAACGGCCTATAATAATCCCGAGCATTCGCTCAGACGTGCGAGCCCCTTAATCCCATAACCTTTAGAAGCCAGGGCGGCGAAACGTCGTGCACAAGGGTTTCAATATAAAGTCGTGCGGTTGCAAGTCAATCCTATACCAACCAACGATGTTAGTCATACGTGGTAATCGCGGCTCCGACCCCGCGATATTGAATGGCTGAAGGAATATATCGCGAGGGGTTACCCCTCACGATATTGAATGGCTGACGGACATGTCGTTCGGCCCTCGCGACACTTCCGCCCTCAGGGTTGGGTGTCTCGACGGGCAGAGTGAATAGGCTCTGCGCGAGGGGAGGTCCCTTCCCTGTAGAGTCTAGGGCTTGGGATGTCCTGAACAAGGACCTTGAACCCCGGCCCAGGACCAACGTCCGACCAAGAAACCCCAAGGAAGCAACCAAATGAAAGGAAGAGCCTTCCTTGCGTCACTCAGTCCTATCCTCTGGGTACGCCTTTAGTACGGGGCCCCTTAGGCCACGCGAACACTCGTCATGGGTGAGTACTCGTATACATGTATAAAGGGGGTAAGAATGTGACGATCACTTCTCACAATCTCAGTGGGGTTCCTCACAACCATACGTATATATGTGGTCGCAGGCAATCAAATCCAGAATCTAAGCCACAGCACATACCTGCGATCACATCAAAGAGTCAAACAATAGTCCACCCACTACACGGAGTCAACCCCAACCATTCCCGACACTTATACCCCTTGCTTTAGCCATGCAAGCCCCAATCTCCGGTCCAACCAACCATAATTAAATACTCAGTACCTTTGTCAAATGGCAATTCAATAAAAGTCTGAGTGAAACCTTAACAAAACAACAAAGATCACCAGGGCTAAAGCCTTTTAGGTTGAGTATGGAGAGTGAGCTGGAATTGAGTCGTAGGCCGACGAATCGGCAACCGACCTGTTATCAGTGATAACAAAAGGTGATCCTCGTAGGATTGAGCTGAGTCTAGTCCAGATCCTGAATCAAGTGATCAAGAGGACCTGTAACACATGGCAGACCAATCCCTAACCTAAATCTATAAGTCCTTGGAGGATAATCACGATCTTACTCCAAAAGTCTGCCTAACTAACTAAGCCTAAGTCTACCCTTGAGCAGTGCCCAAAGCAAAGGTAGACCTTGGCAGAGTTTTCCCTATACAGGGTGGATTGCCAAAATCGTCACATGTCAAAATATAACCTATCTCCTTTAAACTGAGATAATTTCGGCAGCGCTTCCCATAGCGAAAGTGCCTTTTCAGAATTTATATCAGCCTGAATATGAACACAGAGATAGTCTTAGACTTCTTAAAGCCCAATCTTGTCTAACTCCCTGAATTAGTAAAAATTTGGGCAGCACTCCCTTTAGAAACGGAGACTTCCCAGATTTTTACTAAGTCATATATGAATCTTAGACCGGCTGAACTTTGAAAAGTCAGAAATTTGACTAACTCTTTGGATTTGCAGAAATTTCGGCAGCGCTTCCCATAGGGTAACTGGCTTACCAAAATTTATACCAGCCGAAGTATAACAAAGGGTCTAAAAAAATGCGAGAATTGCTCTAAGTAAAGAAAACTCAGCTCGAAAAATGCAGGAATTGAACCAACTCCTATCGCTCTAGCACGTGACGAGCCTCTAAATCAACTACGTGTCAACCTGAAACTCAGACCAAGTAGTAGCCTCACTCAGCCACATGTAGGCCAAACCACAAAAGTAAGTACTATCGCCACCCCAAATCCTTAGTAAACAATAGTTCATGCTTCCTCTGTGAGTTACCCCCTTATACCCAACTTACATAAGGCATAGGTCAGGCCACATGAACTTACAGAGCGTGCCCAACTTAGCCAGGCCTATAGTCAGATCACCTAAATGTATAGAGCGCATCTGACTTAGCCAAATATACACAAAACGCAGAGCACAACAACTTTTCTCTTCCTTCGGCATATGACTAGACCACCCTAGTCGCCCTGAACCGTTTAAATAGCCAAGTTATATATATATATCCGAACTTAATCTTCAAAGTGGGCGTGAGGCTGAGCCGCTCAACTTAGAACACTGCTCAGCCTGCCTAGGTTTACCCTCAGTTATATCTCTTAATTATACTCTCTTCAATTGTGATAAGCTATAGCCAGGCTACCTAAACTTATAGAGCGGCCTGACTAGCCTGTTCTTAATAACATAGTAATATAATATAGCCAATTTATAACTATTGGGTTCCAATATGTGCGAGGCATTGGGTCATACTACCTAAACTTATAGAGCGGTCTGATTCTCTGTTAGGTTCGTTCCTCTCTGATCCAGTATGTGCGAGGCAGTAGGCTAGGCCACCTAAACTTATAGAGCAGTCTGCCTCCTGCCAGAATTACTCCCTCAAAATAAAACAGGAAAAGAGTTGAACCACCTAAACTTATAGAGCGGTTAAGACCTCATCGTTCAGAACAAAAAGAACTGAAAGAAACCCCAAGCAAATAAGGCGACCCAAGGTGCCTAAACTTATAGAGCGCCCTGGACTCCTGAAAACCATCCAGAATCAAGCCCTCACAGTCAGAGCGGTCAGGTCACCTAAACTTATAGAGCGTCATGACCCTCCATGCAATTCACAGCACCGGGTCTCCCCAAACTTATGGGGACTTCCCAGCCTCCAGAGCATTCAGGCTACCTAAACTTATAGAGCGGCCTGATTGCTCCATGCAAACCAAAATAAACAAAGTGTTGGGCTTCCCCAAACTTATGGGGACCTCCCAGCCTTAACGACCCAATCAATCTGCACACAATACTGCCTTCCTCCTAGCCTTCCCCCAGATGCAACCCTCTTTCATTCACAATCTGCTTTCAAGCAACCAACAAATATGAAGCTCACCTTGCACACGCATTCCTTTACTTAGTCTGAATTAAAGTCCTGAAAGTCAAACCAAAATCCAATACAGGGTTCACACCATGCGCTCAATCAACCATAGAAGGGGATACAAATAGGGGTTATAATTAGGTTTATAGACGGAGTCAGGTAATTACCACTCAGTTCCCTGCCTCCAGGACTCCTCCTGAGTCCCGGCAGAGCTCCCACAATCGGTGGGGCGAACCTCCCACAAAGGCCTTCACACGGATCACGGGTTGCTACCCCGCTTATCGCCTTCCTCTCAGGACCACAGACAAGACTTAGAATAAGAGCGACAGAAAGAGAATCATTTAGTCTCTCAGATCCAAGAGTGGTGCGCTCAGACTCGCGGGAGAGGGCCTTCAGATCTTCAGCACCTGAGGGCCCCACAATGGCGGCCAAATGACTGCAGCAACTTGGTCAACCCAAAGTCAAACTGCTAATCCCATCTCTCCTGCCGAACTCCCAAATCGCAATAATACTCCCCTCCACAGCCACTCTTCCAAGCTGCAGCAGCACCCTCTTCCTGCAGCGGACCCGGCGTGTCCAGCGACACAATAGTCGACGAAGCCCGTGGGGCCCGCAGCAGAAAGAGCAGTAAGGAATGATGTGACTTAACAGCCTGGTTTTCCTTCCTCGTAGTAGCCACTTGTAGTACGGTCCGACACCAGCAGCAGTGCTTCAGCAGGGGGGGGATAACGGTGGGTAAAAA